CGTTGTCCATCCGTATGGACGTTGCACATATATGTGTGATCCTGGAGTCCGATCAGATTTCTTGAGCGGGAACCCAATGCTGAACATGACTCGCTCGACACGTCAGTGTGTTGCATACTTTTGAGTGTGTGTGTGTGTGTGTGTGCGGTGCTAGCGAGACAGCCACGTTTTGAAGGCGGCCCGTCCTCAATCCGTGTGCTCTTGTAAAGCTGTCAAGCCAATGTGCGCGGTTCGATACTAGGAGGATTAGCAGGACTGGCACGAGGAGGTGGGGATCAGCTTGTCGGGAATGCTTCGATACATGGGTGGAGCGAGCGGAGGTTGTTTTTGTCTTGTGTAAGAGAAGGGCGGGGACATGTGAGAAGGCGATGGATGAACGGGATGAAGAGGATGAGTTGGAGAAGCACGAGAAGGAGGAACATGATGAGCATGATGAGCATGCCGATTCGATTCATGATGATGGGTGGAGCGGATGGGCCAAGGCACGATATCACGGGGATACGCCGTTGAGGAAGTAGATGAGTAGAAGGGTGAGGACGAGTGTGAGGCGGAAGGGTTTAATGAGAATGGGGAAGGATGAGCAAAACAGGACGAACGATAGGAGAAGGATGTGGAGGACGGGGAGGAGGACAGCGTGGAGAATGAAGATTAGGCAGGCGGAGGGGAAGAAGATCGAATCGGGAGGATATGAAGGTGGACATGGGCGGGGCCGAGGGGAGGAAGATGCGGAAGATGAGAATGGAGAGTGCGAGGGGAATGCTAGAAAATGGAGCAGCGAGGATGGAGTGGAGAACAAGAAGGATTATGGCAGCGATGACAGCAGACCGTATGTGGGCGAGGTGTGATGAGCGAATGATCAAGATGGGGGCGTCCAGAGTGGGAGCGGATGGGCCAATGCAAGGAGATGTTGAGACGTGCAGGGACGAGGGTTGAGGGCGGACGATGTTGGATGGCACTAAGGTTGTGGTGCCATTCGGAGGAGAGGGACCAAGGAGAGATGGGCGGATGAGGAAGTCGGAGACGGAGGGGTACAGGGAGAAGAGGGATGATCAGGTGACGGAGCGCGGGCACTGGACGGAGGAACAAAAAATGGGTCAGACTGGGAACGGGGGGTTGGGGGGAAGATGAGCTGATGTGGCGGGGATCGGGAGGGGGAGGGTTATGAGGATGAGCGGGTGGAGGGCAGGCAGCAGGCGTGGGCTGAGGACGGGGTGGATGAGGAGGCCGAGGCGAGGCCGGAGCAGCATCAGCAGCCAGAGCGGGGCTTTCGGTTTGCGTCGTGTCGACCGACCGCGACCCCGCCGCCGGCGTTCATCAAACGACGCGAAGACCGGGACAAAATCGGATCGGGATAACTCGAAATCTCTGAGAATCGGCGGGTTTGGAGGACGTCTTGGGCGCCGCGGCCGCTCCAGAGCGTTCAGGAACGCTCTGAGAGCGCTCCAGAACGCTCTGGAGCGATTTATCCCGATCCTAGCCCTGTTTTAGACCCCGCCGCTAGCGTTCAGCTTGGAATGCCGCTGGCGACCCAGGTTCGTTCGTTGTTGAACGATCTGACGTTTCGGAGACGGCCGGTCGCTCAGCATCGTCGAACCATCCCCACGGTGTCAGAGAGGTCAACGCCGAAGTCGGCACGACGACACGAGCCTGCCGTAGTGGGGCTCAGCGCGGAAGGGGGGTCGGCCAACGCCCTCTGGCGGACCCGGGTTGTGGGAGCCACGAGGGGGCGGTTCCCCTTTTCCGCGCTCCGCTGACCCTGGTGTGGGAGCTACTCAGCGACCATCTTCAGGAGCGAAAGAAGTACGTACACTCAGAGCCCCGAATCATCAGGGGTAACTCGGGTCAGGGATAACTCGGGTTCGTTTTTCGGGAATCCAAACCCGAGTTACCCCGGACCCGAGTTACCCCGGATAATTCGGGCGTCCAGAGCCCCACATCATCAGGGGTAACTCGGGTCAGGGCAAACTCGGGTTCCTTTTTGGGGAATCCAAACCCGAGTTACCCCGGACCCGAGTTACCCCGGATAGCTCGGGCGCCCAATACACGCACATGAATCCACGCTGCTTCCGAGATTTCGCATTCGGCGAATGTTCGTATCACGCGGCCGGTC